TATATAGTTTTTTATTTTTGTGTTTCCTTAATATAGTTTTAGTTTTTAGGTTTAGTTTCAGTTATTTCAACATTTGTGTAATATTTTAAATATTTTTAAATATCATATTTCAGTTTATTTCATGTTTTTTATGATCTTTAATTTTTCATGTGTAAAAGTGGGTCTTAAAATAGTGACTGGAGAGGGAAAAGCTTAATTAATTTACAATTCATAATACGGAGACTCCAAGCAGCCATTATTGCTAATAAAATGTTTTTTATTAACTTTATTTATACATTACAGTTTTAATGCAGCTTTACATTAATAAACAGAAGAATCATGATTCAATAATGCAAACAGAATTCAACTCTGCTGTAAAGCAGCTCTACAAAGACAGTAAACAGTCATTATTCAGTTGAAATCAGCTCATTGTTGATTCAGTTTGGTTCAATAACTGTGTAAAGTTCATCAATTATGGTATGACTTTAATTCATCTATAAATCAGCTCTGGAGAAAACAGACTGTCTTAATCCGACTGGTTTTAACATTGATATTTATGTTTTTTTCCTTCTTAGTTTACGGGCATAACGTGAAGAGTAGCAACGATTTTGTTGGTCGCATTGTCATCGGCCAGTTCTCCACCGGCCCGCAGGAAACCATGCATTGGCGCCGGCTCCTGGGCTCTCAGCGCACCCCAGTGGAACAGTGGCACAGCCTGCGCTCCCGTGCCGAGTGTGACCGCGTCTCTCCGGCTTCGCTCGAGGTCACATAATACTAACACAGGACAGTCACTGCAGGTGGGATAGAGATCTATGGAAAAGAGCTTTAACCTAAAACTTAAGACACAAACATCTAGGAGTTTCCTGGTGGTTCTATGTATAATTTATATTGGTATGAAACATAAACTAATAGATCTATTCTCTATAGAATAGTGGGCTCTGTCTTGGTGTTCACTCTCCCTTACCATTATTATAATGAGGAGATATAGACCGTAGAAAAGACCTCAGAGAGTTTCTCTGTTTATGATGACGAGCAGAAGCCTGCTGTCCATGTTTTCTTTTTATCACATTGATACTATCTTACATGGGAGCTCAGTAATCTCATCATCATCTGATCCTCGGCTGCGTTCAGGCTGTGAGCCTCAGGCAGTTGAGACCATACCTAACCACTGGTTTGGTCTGCAGTGTTTTAATAATCATATTGTTTCTTTTTTCAGACTTCAATATGATTGCAGTTCTTGAAGTAGTTGGAAATCTGTGGCAACACAGTTGGTCATTTTTATTGCCTGCTTTGAATGTTTCAAGTACGATTTTACACCAAAGCTTGGTTTGGTTGAGTTTTGTGACCCGTATCACTGTTCTTCATGCACGTATTGATCTCTGATTGTGTTTAAGTGTTTGTGAGTGCGCGTTTGGTAAATGTTTGCACTTATGGCAGCTGAAGTCTACAGAAACCCTAAGAGGCTATGCATTATTTTATTTTTATATTTTTTAAAGATTTTTTGTTTTCTTGGGATTTTTCTGCATCTTGTTACTATTTCTCATGTCATCTCTCAAACATCACAAAAGTTTGGGGTCAGGAAGATTATTTTTTATTTTTAAGAAATGAGTATGTTTTTCAGCGAGGATGCATTCAATTCATCAAAAACATTCATTTCTATTTAAAAAAATGTTGTTCTTTTAAAATGTGTATTCTTCAAAGAATCCTGGAAAAAAAATGTATCACGGTTTATACACAAATAAAATAAGCAGCATATTAGAATGCTTTCTGAAGGATCATGTGACAGAAAATTCAGCTTTGAATCACAGGAATAAATTACATTTTAAAATATATTCAAATAGAAAACTCTTTAATTGTAAATATATTTCACAATATTACTGTTTTACTGTATTTTTGAGAAAATAAATGCAGCCTTGCTGAGCATACGAGATTTTTTACTTTAAATAATAATATATGGCTTCTTAAGGCTTCTGTAGATGTTTAGATCCCCTTGTAAATGCATTAGTGTTAGTGTCTGCACATGTGAACATGCTTTCACAGCTTGGGCAATATAATGCCATGCCAAGAAGGTGCAGATACATGCATTTCTCTTTGCACTGTTGCCTTCACTCCACGCTTTTGCCAAGTTCACTTCATGTACTGTATTATCAACATCTTGGAGCTGTATTTTGTCTCAACTCTTTCTCAGTCAGTCTATGACGTATGTAAGCATAAATAAGATACGTTTAGGGGGGAAAAAATGTACTTAGCATAGAATCGAAGTGCAATCAGAAACATTACTGCATCTGTCTTCTTAATCTTTCTTCTGTGTGACCTGTGCGAGATAAGTGTTTGTTTCAGGTCAGCTGTATGTTTCCACCACTGTCAATGTTAATGTAGATGATTACAAATGATTAGAGTGGTAATATTAACACGTAATAATAATGAAGCTGTGCCAGTGAAGACTTGTATTTATTTATTTATTTAGATTTTTAAAAAAAAATGCATATAGTAATAGCTATATAATTATCTCTAAAACATATCTGTGTATATTTATAACTTAAATTGTGTACAGAGAATTGAACAAAGCATGTTGCAATATAGATGAAATAGAATATAGATAAATCATGATTAAAAAAAAGCAGTTCAAATGACTTCACTGACAGAAAGATTTTGGTTTCAAGGGTGACTGTTTTTAACAGAAGACATCATTATATTCTAAACAAAAAATGTTTAGTCCACCATCTCCCTGTCTGCTCTGAAACTTCTGAGAGTTTGTTCCGCTGATGCTGTTCATGTAATGGTTTATTAAGTGTGAGAAGAAATGAAGCAGACCTCTGATCAGCAGAATCCCTTTAAAGGTCTCTTTCACAGAGACTGTAATGTGTGAATCAATCAGAGACATGTATTAAGTGAGGAAAGTGTATTTTGGTTGTTCCATAATGCATTAAAGTGACGTTTATTACTGGACTTCTTTCTCCCTTTGTTTTAGTATGCTTTTTATTTTTATAGAAGGAATTTTTATGGAATCTTCTTATACCTTTCATATTTTATATACCTGCACTTTGGTGCAGATTGGACATCAGTAAAGTCTAAAATCACTGGATCATTTAAAAAAAATGAGTGAACTATCCCTCTGTTATTCATTTGAAATATTTGTTTAAACCATTTTGCAATTGCAGTGATGGCAATACACTAATTAAATCACACACACATTCACACACACACACACACACACACACACACACACAAAAGGATTCAGGCTTGTTTGTGTAAAAAAAAAAGTTCCCTCTGCAGGCCTTACGAGGGAGATAATTACTCTGAGGGTTACAAGAGGGTCAATTAATTACTCTCTTTAGCAACAGGGGAACAGCTTAACCCCACTGTCCACATGGGTCAGGCATATAATCATCAAAACTACCTTGTTTACGAATTTACAAATTGAATTTTCCTCTTGACATATTTCAAGACAAATTTTATTACAAAATTCCCATCCAGAAAGGCAATTAAAGCTGAGGTTTTGAAATGAAAACTTTAAAATCTTATAACAAAAACTTTTCATAAATTAACTTTTATGGTCCATGTACTTAATTTTCCCATAAAGCAGTGTGCCATGCATGAGACAATGCAAAAAAGAAACAAGTGCAATGGTCAAAGATATCCATTTAGCACATGTTTGCATAAAAACAATGGAAAAGCACAGTGGAAAACAAAAACGTGTTCTTTGTGAACAGCCCCATAATATAAAACGTTTTCTAAACATTGAGGTATATTCTAAATAAATAAGCATAATTGTGACCCTGGACCACAAAACCAGTCATAAGGGTCAATTTTTCGAAATTTAGGTTTATACATCTGAAAGCTGGATAAATAAGCTTTCCATTGATGTATGGTTTGTTAGGATAGGACAATATTTGGCTGAGATACAACTGTTTGAAAATCTGGAATCTGAGGGTGCAAAAAAATCTAAATATTGAGTAAATCATCTTTAAAGTTGTCCAAATGAAGTTCTTAGCAATGCATATTACTAATCAATAATTAAGTTTTGATATATTTACAATAGGAAATTTACAAAATATCTTCTATGGAACATGATCTTTACTTAATATCCTAATGATTTTTGGCATAAAAGAAAAATCTATAATTTTGACCCATACAATGTATTTTTGGCTATTGCTACAAATATACCCCAGCAACTTAAGACTGGTTTTGTGCTCCAGGGTCACAATTAGTGACAATTATGTTATTATTATTTATTATTGTTAAACTTATCTATTTCGTGACAGTGTTGAATTATAAGTGTAATATAGTAAATTCCTCACTAGCGGAAACTTGTGTGGATAAGAATAGAGGTTTTTTTTTTGGTGGGGGTGGTCACTAATTGGCACAGCATATGAACTAGAGAGAAAAGCAGAAAAGGTCATCTGCCTAGCTGAGGTTAAGCTCTTTCTGTCTTTTGAAGCTCTGCAGTCAACAGAGGCTTAAATGCCTTCTCTTTTAGAATCTCACCTTCTAGGTCAGAGACAGAAAAATGTGCACAGACGGACACTGACAGTGTTTGGGATTCCAGATCAAGACTCAGGAGTCATTATATGGACACACACATTCCTGTCTCAAGGTCTACAAGAAATGAAAAATACCCTTTCTATCAAAAACAAGAGACATTTTCTGACTTTTTATAAAATCATGGGGTCTCCAGCAAAAGTACCCTATTTGAAAAGAAGGAAATAATGTCTCAGAGCATTAATGGCCAGTTGATTGGGTGGGGGGAAAAAAAACAATAAGCATTCGGTCTAGTTCAGTTTAGCCATATATTGCAGCTCACTATCTACACAAAAAATAAAAGTTCTTTATTGGCTTCTATAGTTCCATGAAGAACATTTAACATTCATGGAAGCTTTCCATTCCACAAAAGATTCTCTTTAGATTATTCAAATGTTTGCCAAAGAAACAAATGCTTCTTTTAAGAACTAGTCACTGAAAGGTTCTTTGGGAAAGCAAAAATGGTTCTTCTATGGCATTGCTGCAAAAAATATATACACACATATATACAACAGTGATAGGAGGACGATGGAGGCAGGGAATTGGAGTGAAGGGGAGAGAAATGCAAATGAAGTGCCTATAGCAGGCTGGAGAGAGCCCTTCATCACTGCAGGGATGGAGATGAGCGGACATCTTGTTGCTGCACTGTGATTGAGGGATGTTGGGTGTCAGTGTTGACGATAAAGAACTGGATAAACAATCTTAGCTCTGAGGTTAGTTTTCCAGTGTAGGAATCTTACAGACGAATGGAAAGGCCTTGTCACAATTGTTGTCATTCCAAGACCTCAGTGCTGCAAAAGATGGAAAGATGCAAACAGTTTCTTTATTTTGTAATGTCCTGACATATTTAGTGGGGTTGTCAATCAGCTATATATATCTCTCTCTTATTACTGGTTCCACAAAAATGTTTAGCAGCATGACTGTTTTCAACATTGATAATAATATGTTATTCGAGCAGCAAATCAGTATATTAGAATGATTATTGAAACATCGTGTGACACTGAAGAGTGAAGTAATGGCTGAAAATACAGCTTTGCCATCACAGTGTTAAATTACATTTGAAAATATATTAAAATAGAAAAAGTCATTTTAATATTTCACAATATTACTGTTTTTACTGTATTGATTAAATACAAACTGCAGCCTTGGTATGCATACAAGACTTCTTTCAAAGATATTGAATGTTAGTTTCTTAACATGTTACAGCATGACTGTTTTCAACATTGATAATAATATGTTATTCGAGCAGCAAATCAGTATATTAGAATGATTATTGAAACATCGTGTGACACTGAAGAGTGAAGTAATGGCTGAAAATACAGCTTTGCCATCACAGTGTTAAATTACATTTGAAAATATATTAAAATAGAAAAAGTCATTTTAATATTTCACAATATTACTGTTTTTACTGTATTGATTCAATACAAACTGCAGCCTTGGTATGCATACAAGACTTCTTTCAAAGACATTGAATGTTAGTTTCTTAACATGTTATCTTAATTGTACTAAATTATCTAAATTAATTTCTGTTATATGATTCAAAAAATTGCGAACTCACCACTGTTTTGTCTGTACCAGATCTCCACACAATCCTCCTCCTGAGGGATGCGATGGATGCCATCATCTGGTTGATTTCCATCCCAGTAACTGTATTCATAGGGTGACCCGTCTGTCCACTCCATAGTGCCCTCCTACCCACAAACTATGATTAACAACGCTATCACATTTGCTTGCTCCTTGCCCCTTGACCCTGAAGCGATAACTAAAATCTTCCTGCCAAGCACGAGTTCACACCTTTGATGCTTTCTGGATCATTTGATCCAGACTTTCAATTTACAAAACTGAGGGTTTGTTACAACATCATCCGTAAACTATCTACCTCAATTTAGTGTTAGACCAAAGTGTTGGTTCACCACTGTCTGGAAATGATTAAACATCACTCAGAGAACCTATATTTTCCATTCATGGGATTATTAGTGGGAGGATTTACATACTGGGCTTGGACAATTACAACATATACAAGCTATGTCAGTCATGTAGCTGTTAACGTTTTTTTAATGGGTTACTAGGAATCATGATTGCTTCACATAATAAAACATCAGTGAATCATTGAAAAATCAATATTTTGTGTTGCTCTTATTGTGTGATGTTTACCTGTCTTCTATCATGAAGGCCAATCCAAATATCTGTTGGAATTCCTGGTACACGGCTGTTCACAAGATCATAGACAAACACATTTTCCTCCCAGCTATGAAAAAGTTATTAGAAAGGGTATATTTTAATAGAAGGTCCAGCAAAATCCTGTACTGTAAGACAAATCGCAGCACTGTCAGGGACGAGTCATACCTGTGGATGGAGGTGAGTTTGGCAGATTTGTGTCCGTTTGAGAACTCAGCGCAGTACAGATCTGCCTCAGCCCAGGTGCGGTTCAAGGGGAAGAAGCGGTAACAGTAACCCTCAAATTCAGTCCAGAAGAGCGGACATGTCACAGGCTGGTTTGAGTCTGACAGTTGCAGGGGCAGTGCTAGAGGAAACGGTAATGACATTAAATCCATTTTAATTTAGCAGTTCAGTATAGTATACGAGCACATAATAGGTCAAACACTTACAAACACCACAAAAATATATTATTACGTTATCTGAAACAGCATCTGGAAAGTATTTAGCTGATTTCAAAATATAATGTCATTGTTTTCTTTTCACAGAACCAGCCTGCTTTCAATTTAGTTTGAACTGTGCAATAGCTAAAGAAATTCTGTTATGCAACAAAAACAATTATAGGTTACACTTTCCACCAAAAAAGTATGGTTATTACAGTATTTAAATATTACATTACAATAACTGAAGTCAGCTAAATGTAAGAAAAATGATTCCTAAATAAATGATAAATGAAATGCAATGTTAAGGAAAACAATTGAATTATTTAGTGGCAATTTTTTTTTCCAGCATAATATGTTACAGGGAGACTTTTCCTGCCTTTCAAATCAGAGTCATACTTAACCTTTAAAGATGGATTCACTGCTAGTCTAATAAATAAAACATTGCAAGTATAGCAATTATGTCACATCCTCATTCACTGGGCAAACTGTATACAAAATACAGATTAAAACTATACATTATAAACAGAAGCATCTATAACTTGGCAAAGCATCTCTGGTTTAGCTTGAGACTGCTATTCGCCATATAAAGAAGCAAATTAAAGCATATTAACTGTGTCTGCGCTGTATCCTTGTCTTTGGTTCTGGTGGCACTCACCTTGTGTGATCTTGATGTTTGTTGAAGGCAGAGCCCACACTGGGAAGCCGGTGATCAGTAGGGCTAAACACAATTCCCAACAGAGCATGTTTAGTGCAGGAGAGGAGATTGAGATCTGGAGTGTGTGTGTGTGTGTTTGTGAGCATGTGTGCTGCAGGACAGTGTGGAGTGTTGGGGAGATTAGAGGGTGTGTGAGCCTCTCTCAGCCCCTGCCTTTTTGTTGGACACTTCCTACTTGGTCAAGTCCAAAACACTGACATCAGACTGTGTAAGAAAAGGAGAAAGAGAGAACCCAAGGGCCTAAAACTGATATTTTGTGTCATTAACCCAATGTAATGCTCTCTGGGCGGACAATTTACTACATATACTATCCTTCGAAAGTTTGGGGTAAGTAAGATTTTTTTTTTTTAATAAATTAATACTTTTATTCAGCAAGGATGCATTAAATAAATCAAAGTGACAGTTAAGACATTTATAATGTTATAAAAATGTCTGTTTCAAATAAATGCTGTTATTTGGAACTTTCTTAAGCACCAAATCAGTATGAATGATTTCTGAAGGATCACGTGACACTGAAGACTGGAGCAAACGCTGCTGAAAATTCAGCTTTGCCATCACAGGAATAAACTACATTTAAAAATATATTAATATAACATTTACGTTTACTGTTTTTACAAATGAATGCAGCCTTCGTGATCACACGTCTTTTTCGAAAACATAAAAAATCTAACCAACCCTAAACCAACCCTATTCATATCACAAATAGGAAAAAAATAAAAAAAACAGGATGACCAAACGCCTTATCTATTTTACTATTCAAATCGTCTGCTTTTATTTCAGATTTAATTTAATAATTGAATTTATCAAAATGGAACTTAATTTATTAATTAAAATCAACTTTGCCATCACAGGAATAAACTACATTTAAAAATATATTAATATAACATTTACGTTTACTGTTTTTACAAATGAATGCAGCCTTCGTGATCACACGTCTTTTTCGAAAACATAAAAAATCTAACCAACCCTAAACCAACCCTATTCATATCACAAATAGGAAAAAAATAAAAAAAACAGGATGACCAAGCGCCTTATCTATTTTACTATTCAAATCGTCTGCTTTTATTTCAGATTTAATTTAATAATTGAATTTATCAAAATGAAACTTAATTTATTAATTAAAATCAATAACAGTTTTATTAGTGTTCTAAGTCAGTATTATGTTTGTTATAATATAATAACCTTTTGCAATTTTAACTTTTATACATATGGAAAGCATCTAATTCATATTGTTGCAGACACATCAAACAGAACTGACCTGTGATTCCTCATTAACCTTTAACTTGTGAAATTCAATCCCCAAACACCACAGTATGGCCACAACCTGGAGTGAGTAAGATAAATGCTTCAGAAATACCAACATGTTTGCCAACATAATAAAGCAAGAAAATAACTAACAGTTAAATGGTTTAACTTCAAATCTATGGAAACATTTCATCTTGTAATGATTTGTTGGAACATGTCCAGCTTGTCTACAGAGTTATTGAACACCCACTTCACACTACTTGTTTAGTTCCATTAGTCTCCCCTGACACCGTCTTGCATTTGATAGCGTGTCTGCTTTATCTCACGGCCTACAGAGCCCATGCTATTAAAGGCCCAGAATTCCTCTTATCTTTGTGAGGGCTGCCGCCTATAACAGCTAAGGGCAGGAGCGTGGCAATATGACTCATTCTTATACTGAAGAAGGACTCCATTTAAGATTTTCAAATGGGATTGCTGCTAAATATGGTCTCTAATTGAGTCGTTTTGTATGTCCTGTTGCTGCATCCTGCCAGGTGTAGACAAATAATATCTAACATGCAGTACAATACAGGAAGGAATGGCTTTAAATAACTTTTTTAACTTTCTGAAACACGTCGATTTTTACAAAGCTCATCGGTCTGAAAAGCGAGGTGTACGCTGATTGGCCAGCTATCCAGTGCGTTGTGATAGGATGAATACCTCAAGTGTGTGACAGAAATGTTACGCCCCTTACCATACTGTGATGCCGTGTACCGTGAGTGGCGGCCAGTGGGCTAGAGTGAGCGGAGGCAGGCAGGCTAGAGTGAGCGGCGGCCACATGTGAAGACCCCGGGCTAGACTCCGCTTCGTCCACGGTGAAAGCCGATCCGGCGATCCACAGCGTGAAGTTGATGTATCTCCTCAGCGACCAGCATGGATCAGCTCCAGGCATGACGAAGCGGATATCGTCCTCTTTTGGAAGGCTTTCACAACGAAACACACAGCGCCTCCATGACATGGCGGCAGCGGCAACAACAATACTACAGCGAGAATAAAAGTTATGCCTTCTTTCTTTGCGTGAACATTTGGGCGGTGTTATGCAAATCTTCCCACATAGTGATGTAGATATGTGGGGGCGTGTTTTGAACGAGGTGTTTTAGGTAGGCGTGGTTGACTCTTAGCTTTTATAAAGAATATCTCTTTGGGTTTGAGACTTTAGTCTTTGCAACTTTAGGGATCTTATCTATGCACGAACAGCTTGTAACACTCCAAAGAGAAAGGAAAAATTGAAATTGCATCATATGACCCCTTTAAATGCGATTGTCACTCCTGAAACTTTACAGTGTGTACGTGGCCACATGGTTGGCATTAGGGTTCTTCAAAACCATCTTTATAGAGCCAGATTCCTAAATTCATTCCCTGGATCACTGAGTTTTCGCCCCAAGCCAACAATGAGAAAGTAGTTCAGACATTTCCAGTGCATCATTGGGCGTACCCTGTTTGAGGAAGATGAACTGAGACGTGTGAGCTCGCTAAAAATATATTTTTTGAGTCTGGTATTGATTTTGAGTCAGTTCAAAGCCAGCTGATGTGCAGACATGAGATGAAACATAGCACCCCTGTTTTATTGGTAGAATTCCCAAAAATATGTTCTTGTACGTTGTACATTTTACATTGAAAAGGGGTGATTCATTCCAGAAAAATGTCTTTGGTTACCTTTACTTACATTGTCCTACATTGCTTGTAATCCCTCAGGTGTAGATGGTGGTGCACATTAGATAAGCAACAGCTGTGACATTCAGCACTTCCTGTAGCAGAACAGTCGAACAGCTGCACATATTGTTAATTATGAGCGCTTTTTGCTGACTTCCATTGAGCAATTTCCATGAAATTATGCTTTCTGCAGCACTTAGGGTTTTTTTTTTCTCAACAAAGCACAAAAATCTGGCCAATAATGGTTTGTAGTATAGTTATATAGTCTTAATTAACAGTCTTAGTTAACTCAAAGGGTGCAATAACACACTGTGAGCCATGTAATCTCCTTAAGTTACCAGCTGTCATCTCTATGTACTGCTACAGTGTTTATTGTGCATTGTTGCTTAGCAACTTCAATTCCATGCATTGAGGAAAAATATCACAGCAAGGCTCTGTGAAAGTGAATGGGCCATTTTCAGTGGACCATCTCTTTCTACTTGCTGGAAAAAGTGCAATGGCTTGAGTGTTACTTGATATTACTGCAAGACATGACAGACAGAGATATAGGAGAAAAAAATATTGGGCTGATGAATTCTGCTTTAGCTCCTTGCTACCATCTTGTGGTATAATTATGAAATGTGGGTGTGGTGAATGGATACGCAAATAACACAGTTTCTCCTCAAACAATAGCCTCAAACTCTATATCAAACATATTTGCTTCTTATTAATGTGTTAATATTATGTAATAATTATCGCAAGACAAACTTTGATGTTGGCTTCAGAAAGAAAATTAAATGCTTTTTGCATAAGATTAAAGTCAGTTAATGTTGACATGGTCACACACCCACTGTAAACAATAAAAGTTCACAGAATCTGCAAAATATGTACACCAGGCATTCATACTGCAAACTGCAATGGGGGTGGTCTTTTTCAGTTTGTTTATTTTATTTATTTTTATTTAATAGTGACAGTGCTCATTAATCAACAGTAACATACTGTAAATAAGCCAGAGTTAGCCCCAATGGCTAATTTTCATATGTTGCCCCTTGCCAGACTTTAAAAAGGCAACTTAAAAATCTGAAACACAGTAAGTTATCACACATAAACATACAATAGCATTTACAATGACATACAATAACACTATTCAAGATAATAATGGCAGTATCATAAAAAATAAAAAATAAATTACACATGATTACAAATACAGTTAGCTTTTAACCATTTCTTTAATTTATATTTAAATGTTAAAACATGTTTTACTACTCAATTAGTTGGTAGAGTATTCCAATAGTTAATGGCTCTGACTATACAATAGCATTTACAATGACATACAATAACACTATTCAAGATAATAATGGCAGTATCATAAAAAATAAAAAATAAATTACACATGATTACAAATACAGTTAGCTTTTAACCATTTCTTTAATTTATATTTAAATGTTAAAAAATGTTTTACTACTCCTTAATTAGTTGGTAGAGTATTCCAATAGTTAATGGCTCTGACTGAAAAGACTGACCGTCCAAATGTTGTACGCCTAAACTGTACAGCAGTCTCCTCTAGTAATTGCTCTGCGTTATAAACTGGCATACTGGGGGAGGTGCATAACCATTTTAAATCTTAAAAATCAAGCAAGCATCAACCACAAAGTATAGTTAATAAAGATAATTATTAATATAGTTCATATATTATTAGTTAGTTAAAGTTATTGTAGTTAAAGATAGTTAATAATAGTTAATAAATATCTACACATTCTTAAACCAAAATGCACTGACATGAGAAATAAATGATTTCTGAAATAAATAAATAAATGAGTTTATGCTCAAAACAATAAAAACTAAATAAACTTAATTCAAGTAGGAAACAAGTTTATTTTGCTTACCCCATATATTTTTGTTGTTGTTGTAAGCCTAAAATCGCTTGATTTTGATCAATCAGAAAACAAGACTTAATATAAATTGTATTCTCGTGTACATGTGTCTTGATTTAAGAATGTTTCGTTTTTTGTTTTTTGCAGTCCAGAGACGAATTGTAGAAATTGTGTTGTGAGCATACCTACCAATAACGATGTACCAAATATAAAACCAAACATAATATGCCTCCCTGAATCTAATGGTGAATGGGAAACTTTAACGATATGTTTTTCAGTTAAACA